AGTAAGGTATAAGTTAGAGCGAGGACATAAAACACGCCCACCCGCCCGTCCACACTACTAACACGAGAGCGAGGACATAAAACACGCCCACCCGCCCGTCCACACTACTAACACGATACCGCCGCTAATTACTTGTTGTGGTGGGGTATTAACATGCCAATATATTATTCGTACACTGACTCAATGAATAATCAATATTTCTTCATGGGTGAGTGAGTGATCTAGCCACGTACTGAGTTGCTGACATAGGTAAAAGACGCCAAATATAGTTCCGGGACGCTACGAATAGCAACAAAACACACACAAAAAAGGAGCTAAGAGATGATATGGGTGACGCCCCGGCCCAAGAAGGAGTGGGTGACAGACCTGACACTCCCACTCACCCCTGACGGTGCCTCGCCCTCCCTCCTGTCAACCTCAACCACTAATATAAGTTTATCTGCCCACATGAAAGAGAGAGAGATAGAGAGACCCTCTTCTTCACCTCACCCTCGACTACTGTCACTTCACCCCATCTCTTCCTCCTTCTCCCTTCACCCCTTCTTCACCTCATTCTCGACTACTGTCACTTCACCCCTTCCTCCCCACTTCATCCATCACCACCGCGGGCAACCCATTGCCATAACCACCGCCCGTCGTTCTCTCCTTGGACGCGCCTTCCTGCCCATCTCTCCCAAGATGGCTAGCTAGTTGGCCCCTGTCCAGCCAGCCTTTCATTCTCGACCACAGTTTCTTTATCTCACTTTCACTTTTTACTTTCATTTAGCGGCCTCTCCGGGGTACAGAGTCAGGTGTGTGGCGGTGGCTTCTCCAGGTACCCGACCTTGATGTTCTCTTTCTCTTAGCACGAGACTATAATAATAATAATAATGATAATAATGATAATAATAATAATAATAATAATAATAATAATAATAATAATAATAATAATCTTGGCTTCACTACGAAACATAACCCATAAAAATATAATAGAAATAACTGAAAAAATAGACAATCGCCTAAGAGAAAATGAAAACATATCAATGTGTTTAAGATAGGTGATGTGAGCGTGTGTGTAAGTCAAGGCACTGGTTATAATATCTGGTACACGAGAGTCAACACACCTACACGCTTAACCTCTTGACCTTACGAGAACCCATCCAAACATCACCTTACTATGGCGTAACATGGTTATTTTTTCTCTGGTGTCATTTTGGGTACTAAATTGACATTTTACCTCCGTTTATGAGAGATGAATCATGATAAAAAAGACACGAAAAATCAAAGCAAAAACTGACCCCAAAAGGTGAACACTCCAAACCCTTTCACTTTCTGACTTGTCCTGTGAGTCTGGTTTTTGCTGCTCTTGTGGTCACTGGTAAATGTCTGGTCACTTCTCATGACCTCATCCCGTCTGTTAACTACAACTTTTATCTCTTTCATGTCGTCATACAATCTCCCTTATGTGTAGCTTCGGCGGCTTCTGTTTAACAATTTTTTTCTCAGAGTATTCCAGTTCTGGGTTCTGTACTGTGGAGTCTATAGAGTTGTTTTCATTGTTTGTATAGGATAACTAAACCATATCACATTCTGGTTGTAAAATTCACTATTAAACTAACTTTCAGATTTACCGAATGAATTAGTCTTGTTATTGAAGTAAGTACCAATGCTCAAACTAAATAATGACCGTATCAATATTTAATCTAATTTGAGGACGGTGTCAATATCTAACATCTACTGAGATTGATTGATTGAGATCTTATAAGTATTTCGTCTTTTGTATTTTTAGAAATTTAAATATAACCTACAGCCACGAGTACACTGCATAACCCAAGTAAGATCAGTGTTCTCAATCCTTGGAAAAACTGTCACAAAAGCGCGGGAAACAAAAGAGGTCAAATTAATGTATTGCAAAACGAGTCTGTTGGGAGTTGCCTGGGGTACGATGCCCACTGAAACTGTTGCAAGCATACATGTCATTTGTTTAACAGAGCATCTATCACCTATAACACTTTTACGACGACCTGGGTTATAAAAAACGACCGGAAAGGAAGGTAGTACGTTCTAGTGCGAGTGTTTGTAGCGACCATTCACCCAGGGTACGGTACCTACCCACTTGGTAACTTTTGATCATCTGGCGGCAACACCTTTCTCTCTCGTGCAACTCGTTCGCTGCGCTGACTGTGGCTTCGACTCGGCATGTGCACCACCAACATCATTTCTAAATTTAGCTGTGATAAGACACACAATTACTTTGTTTGTCGTACTCAGGTTATTCTTTGTGAGGTAATAATTAATTTTTTATAGTAAATGAGCTTTTACAGCAATACACCTTCTTTGATGATGTTTCGAACAATCACCGGATACCCGTTACCTAACAGTATCTTGTGGGCACAGAAGGCGACGAAAGATTCGGTCAAGCAGTTGCTGTGGAAAGACCTTTCTCCCTCAGGAACCTGTGGGAGGCGGGGCAGGAGGTCACACCGTGTAAAAATAATAAGCAGAGAAATACCAAGAGTTACCGAAAACTCAAAAAAAGACGAAATGACACACGGCCCTACTGTCACGTCCACCACTCTCACCTATTTACACAACTTTCGTCTTGTCTGACAACTTAAATGTCAAATAAAAGTGATTTAACCAGATGATTCACAACTGTTCACACATGTTCTCGGTGCGACCAATGAAGCCTTTCAATTAAATCTTGTGAATAATTTCCACTTATCAGAAAATTTTATAAAACTCGACCGCGATCAATCGGATATGGAAATAAGGAATAAGATAGTCTACTTTCTATTTCTTTGTTACTACAGGTTTGAAAGTGATGATTGAGGAACTGGTTAAACCCCGAAGAACCGGTTAAAACGTGTTATTTCTCAAACCCATTCTCCTATAAAACAATAATAACAAGGAATAAACTGCAATACGGGGCTGTTCACACACTTCTCTCAGTCAGTGGGTCAAAATCAGCGTATATAGCGTCTATATATATATATATATATATATATATATATATATATATATATATATATATATATATATATATATATATATATATATATATAATGATCATACAAGATGGGAGGACGACCAGCCCCTCCCTCCCCCCACCCCCTCTCTCTCATGGTCTCAAGCCAACAACTCTCCCTTGGGGTTATTCTTAGTCTAAAGGTTGTAATATGACGTCATAACGAGGTAGTTTCAGCACTTCCTGTCGTAGTTACTCGCTCGTAATGATCCACACACACACCGGTTATTACCATGCTCGTGTGCACTCAGGCTCGTACAGGTGCAAGTTGGTTATGGTGCTGTTGAGGTGGGCGACTCGTCTGGCCTACTTGTGGTCTGTTCTGTTTACGGTGTTAGGGCGAAAATGTGAATCATCTGAAGATTATCCCCAGCTTAGTTTACCTGAAGATTAACCACCCTAACGCTACCTAAGGGGTTAGATTAGCGGAAGGGTGGTTAATCTTCAGGTGATACAACCGGGGGGGGGGCGGCGGGTAATTTTCAGATGATTCCCAAAATTTTTATAAAATTACATTTGTATCGCGCGAGGAGTCTGTTCATCACCTGCCGTAAGAAGCTGGTATTGACCACGGCGAGGAATTAGGTTAACGCTCTCTAAAAGAATCTCAAGTGTGTGTGTGTGCGTGGGTGTATTCAAAATCTCACGTCCATCTGAGGAAACTTTCAAGCTGTTTTAACCGGTCGTTTAAAAGCCTCGTCATCAATTAAAAACCACGAATGTCACACTGAGAAATCGGCGCACCTGGGGCGTGACTTAGGTGTACTTTGCCTGAGGAATATGTCCATACTGCACTGAGACTACCAACAGGAGGAGAATATATACCCATACAAACGCCTGAATATTCTCTATCGATAAACCACTCAACTAACTTCATTACATACATATAATAATGTTCTATCTTTCTTACAAGACTACTACAGGACTTAAAAATTTTTATTTGTTGAATTACTCAGATTTTAAGCTGTTTGCAAGGTAATTACGAGGCAATAATTTCAATATGGGTATTTTTTTATATGCTTTTATCGTTACGCTTCTTTTGTCGTCTATAAATACAAGACCAAAGGTGCGAGACACCGATCGTGAGAGAAATCCTACGAAAAATATTGCCTGCAGCCAACAGTAAAACGCTCCAACTTTTTCTTATTTTTCTGAGTCGCTCTGGCATATTGACTTTCTGCTGTCACTTGGCTGCCCCGACATCTTGCTATCTGACGGCCTGCTGACACTGGGTTTCTCTGATAGCTTCTTGGCTTAAAAGCTGACGTTGAGTCACCGTGACGAGTGACGGGATCTAGCTGGGCGACGGGTGCTGACGAAAGCTTTTTCTCTTTGACGGCCTGGTGACACGGCTTTCCTGAGTACTTCCTGACAGGTGCTGACTTTGGGCTAACCGTGGGAGTTTGCTGTCTGACAGCTAGTTCCGAGATGCTCCCCTGGGGTCTTGCTGTCTGAAGGCCTGTTATTACGTTAGACTGACAGCAGTTGTCACGAGAAAGAGTAAATACAGTTCTCTGACGACTACTGCCCGCCCCAGTGGTCTTACCGAGACATGAACTTAAAACTTTTGACCACAACAGAGTTCATGCAACTTTTCTGTTTCAGTCTGACGAAAATACGAACTAGTATAGCACGTTGTTGTTACATAAGGGCGTCACACTTCACTGTGGCACTGTGTTAGTAGGTCTTGGCAACATGCAGCGTGCGGGGGTGGGGGTTAGTCCAGGTCTGAGACGGCCTAATCTGGACGGACATGTACTCTATATTAGTTCATTTTAGGCTATAATTTAACCCATTCAACTAATTCGAGCTTTACTGTATACTGAATTGAGTAAAAAAAACGAACTTCTATTAACTGTACCGAAGAGTCAATGAAATTTTAGGAATGGCGAGTATGCTTTTTAAAGAATTTTTAACAAGAATTTTATCATTAATCCGTCCATCTAGGTCTTAGGCCTTCTCGCTCGTTGACCATTTACAGCAATTCACGTACTCGGAAGAGGCTTCCTTGGGGGTCCGGGATGGCAGCCGCTAGGGCCACGCACACCAGTAGTCCTGCCAGGATCCTCATGATGAAGAAGGGCACTTGAAGGGGTGTCTCACTGGGGAAGAGGTAGAGGAATACGTCCACACAGCGCGAGGGTTGGGTGAGGACTAGCACCGCGACGCTCCGCCAAGTGTGGGGGTCTCCGGCTGGCTAGCGAGAGTGATCACACCCCCTCCCCTTCACCCTCCCTCCTACTCCTCCCAGCCTCATCGTCGCCTTCCTTTACCTACGATCCTTGCACCATCATCTCCCTCCCTATTTAATTCATAACCTATTTTCTTATCGTTTTCTATATCCACTTCTCGCTTTAACTATGATTCCTTCCTTCTCATTCATTCTCTCCTTCTCCCCTTTCCTTACTCCTTCCTTAATCAGACCTTCACCTCCGCATTTTACCTACGACCCCAATATCCCCTATTCTCCATACCCCTCCTCTCTCAGTTCTCACCCCCCCTTCGTTTACCCTACGATTCCCAAACCCAATTTTCTACCACCCTCCCCCATTCCCTAATTCTCTCCTTTTCCCCTACACCCATTTCCTCCTTCCCTATCACCTATTGTACGCCTCGTCCTCTCACTCCATGCATGACTCCCATCCATCACCCCATTCCCTCCCTACTAGCACCTACGACTCCCTCACCCTATTCCCGTCCCCATCACCTACGAGTCTCCCTCACCTTATCCCCTCCCTCCCAACACATACGACTCCCTCACCCTATTCCCTCCTCCATCACCTACGAATCCCTCACCCTATCCTCTTACCTAGGCACCGTCAAGACTCATCAGAACGGGAGAGAGAAAGACCTTGGCGCCTCTTATTCTTGGTTAAGCGGCCTTGTTGAGATTCTCGGGAAGACTAGGTCGATCGACTGGTTGTATCCGGCAGGCACAGCGCAGGGCAAGGTTAACACAGGCATTATACTCACAGTTTGAAGGCGCTCACTGATTACATCTTCAAATCACGTCGGCTTCTGGTTTAGAGGTTTATCTTTATGTGTTTTACAGGAAATAATTATAAGGAAGATTTATTATTTAGGAAGTTTTAATGGTTAATTGTACCGTATGTGGGGAAAATAATTCAATTTGTATTCATTTCGTTGCAAATTTCTCGTTTGTGAGAATATAAATGTCCCGTTTTATGTCGAGGATGTTAACATTTTCACACTTTGCTGTCAACTGGAAATGAGGTTTTGAAGATGTATTTTATTGATATTATTTCACCATTAAATGTTATTAATTTAAAAAGTTAATAATAAATAATTGTATTCTTTTAGTCTCAGTTTGTAGGAGTTTCTGTGTGTATTAAACTATTATTCATTATGTAAGCTGTTATTCAATTTCAATGACCAAGGAATCAAGGAATGACTTCTGCACCCTCAACATTGGTCCTAAAATACTGTTATTCATTTAGAAGAACATAAAACTATCGCACAGTTCGTAAACGTTGTAGTGTTTTGTAAAGCTTGACTGTTAAGCCATGGCATCAGTGGTAGGTGGTGGCGGCTTTAGCAGACAGTAGAAAGTGTGAGGTGAAGACGATGTGTAAGAGGCGGGAATCTCTCTCAGGTGTGCGCGGGGCCTTGCTGTGTTTACCTAATGGTGGGCAACTGTCTGAAAGCCTCTTGATGACATTGATAGCCTTCTGATGTCACCGATAGCCGCTAGATGACCCTGACAGCCTTCAAATAATACTGACAGCCTTCTCATGACACTGACTGCCTCACAATGACACTGACAGCCTTCTCATGACACTGACTGCCTCACAATGACACTGACAGCCTTCTGATGATACTGACTGCATCATAATGACACTGACAGCCTTCTCATGACACTGACTGCCTCATAATGACACTGACAGCCTTCTGATGACACTGACTGCCTCACAATGACACTGACAGCCTTCTGATGACACTGACTGCCTCACAATGACACTGACAGCCTTACCTAATGCCGGGTAATTGTCTGACAGCCTTCAAATAATACTGACAGCCTTTTGATGACACTGACTGCATCATAATGACACTGACAGCCTTTTGATGACACTGACTGCATCATAATGACACTGACAGCCTTTTGATGACACTAACTGCCTCACAATGACACTGACAGCCTTCTCATGACACTGACTGCCTCATAATGACACTGACAGCCTTCTCATGACACTGACTGCCTCATAATGACACTGACAGCCTTCTGATGACACTGACAGCCTTACCTCATGCTTCATTGACCTAATAACAACAGCTGGAAGTTTGACATACTACATCACTACGCATCAACAGCTAAAGTCTCGAAGAACAGGGAACAAAACCTAAATTAATACAGAGTTTGTTAGGGTTTGGCGTATGGAATTTTCATAAATATATATAAATATTTCTCTTACTCCCTGAATCTATCTTGTTTAATTGCAGTTAGACGGAAGACCTCGTAGAGAGAGAGAGAGAGAGAGAGAGAGAGAGAGAGAGAGAGAGAGAGAGAGAGAGAGAGAGAGAGAGAGATTGTTCTGCTGATACGAAAGGATTTAGTTCTCTAACATTATCTCTTTATATCAAAGTCTGGGAGATAAAACTACCTAATACCAACAGAAAATTATCTCAAACTATGAAAGAAATGGCCAAGTTTAGCTAGATTGAAAACACGTTATAACGAACTGACTTTTACGACCCGAGTAGTTACATAAATTTAACTTAAATTCTGAATACACATTATTTTGACCAAGTCTTCAGATGTTGTAGTAACGGTGAGAGGAACACTAGTAGCCGAACCGACTGACCAATCACCATACGCCCTACCCTCATTGCCGTGGATTCTATCAAGGAACCCCGGCCACCTCCGCGCTGCTATTTAGACAACATTTCTTCTCTATACTGTGACCGCTGTGTTGCCTAAGACGTGTCACTGTCTGCCGGTGCTGTACTGGACCTTAGACAGTATAGGAGGTAGATAGACAGGCAAGTAGACAGATAGACAGGTCGTGTAGGTAGACAGAAGGTTAGATGGATCATGTAGGTAGATCGAGAGGTCATGCAGGTAGACAGGCGGATAGCCAGGTCATGTAGGTGGATAGATGGATAGACAGGTCAAGTAGAGAGATAGACGGGCAGATTGATAAGGTAGACGGAGACAACAATCGGATAGGTAGACAGTCAGCTATTTATTTGTCTATCTCCTGTCTGTCTGTCTGTCTATTTCATAATATGCACCGTCTACCCGTCACTAAGTTAATGTGTATGTCCTTCACTTATCCATCCATCTATCTGTCAAACTATCCATCCATCCAGCTAATTAAACCCAACACCATCTATCCTATCAATCCACACAATAAACCAGCCATTCAATGCACATCCACCTGCTTATCCGCCCATATCCACACATCAATTTAATTACCCAATCCATTCATCTATCCAACTCAACTTTCCTGGAACACAACCCTCAATCGTCTCAACTCTCTCCATTTTATTTTCTAGTCTCTCTCTCTCTCTTTCACTTCCTAATTACCCCCTCTCTTCCATCTCTCGTCTTCTAATTATCCCTTTCTCTCCCTCTCTTTTCCATTCTTTATTTAACTCCCTGTCTCTCTCCGGCAATCTATCTATCCACCTGTCTATATTCATCTGTCCATCTCTATCTATCTATCTATCTATCTATCTATAAGCATCCCTACAGTAAGAAGGCTGTAACACACACACACACACACACACACACACACACACACACACACACACACATACACACACACATACACACACACACCAAGACATGTCTGTAACCCTTTGAATACGATGGCTTAACCCTTTAGAAGACGATGGCTTAGACCTCTACTGACGATGGTTTAAACTATAAATTCTAACACAGCTGCACTAATATGGTGTTGTAATTTACGAATATAATTAATGTAATCTATAGGCTTAGGTCTTTAATAGGTTGAGATAATGAGATACGATTTTTTAATTAGGAATCCATTAACTCTCATCTCTTAAGAGGCATAGACATATACGTTATGATTTTAATTAACATTTTTACAGGTACAGATAAACACATTTTAGTTACGCTAATTATTTTTTACAGTTACAATTATTATTATTATTATTATTATTATTATTATTATTATTATTATTATTATTATTATTATTATTATCATCAATTCTACTCAGGTACAAATCTTAAGCAGGTGTGATATTTTAGTTAAGTTTTAATTAATATATCTATCAGCTCATATTATGTAAAGGGTGTTAAGAGGTTCGTGAATAATAGGTGCTAGATAGGGATAGGGAGTCCAAGTCTCTTTCTTTGTTATTCGATTGTCTTTTGTCTTGTGGCGAAAGGTTTCTGAGTCTAGTGTGTCTGAGAGAGAGAGAGAGAGAGAGAGAGAGACACTAGTGTTTTTTGTAGAGGCTGGATGAACTAACCTTTTTTTATAAATAGCGATAGATAATGTGTTTTTTTCCCTCGTGGTGATAGGGCCTACAACTCACCTTTCTGAGTGAGCGAGAGAGAGAGACAGAGAGAGAGAGAGAAGATAGAACAAGAGAGAGAAGAGAGTGAGAAGAGAAAGAAAGAAAGAAAGGTACACCGCCCTAGACTCTCACCGCCACGTACGGGTTCCAGATGAGTGGTGTGGATGGGACCCCTCTCACCTGTCATTACCTGTCCATATATCATCTACACTCTTCCCCTCCACCACCTGGGGCAAGGGGGCGTCCGGACAAAATACCAGTGGACGAAATACTAGTGGACGAAATACCAGTACAGAACATACAAGTGGACAAAATACCAGTAGGCAAAATACCAATGGACAAAAATTTCACCAGAATAAAATCAGAGAAAAAATTATAAACAGAAAACATTTTACTGGACAAAATTTCACAAGACAAAAAAGAATCCCTGGAAACAAAATTGAACACGATATATCTCACGAGACAAAATCCCACTGGACATAATCCCTGAAAAAAATCCCTAGTATTAAAATGATTATCAATTAAACTAGGTCAGATTAAAATCCCACTCACTAAAACCCAACCAGATAATCCCGACTGGACAAAACCCCCATAGGATTAATTCCCACTGGACAGAACCCCAGAGATAAAACAACTAGAGCCACCAATAGAATAACAGAACCCTTAA